GTTGACGAAATCAAATTCCATTCAAATGTGCCCTGATGAGATCTACCTGGCCAATGTAACCTTGATCAGGGAGTAATGCTATTATACACCTCATGTGCAGTCGCCATTGCAAACATATCGTCGCGTGAGAGGCAGATGGTGTTGACTCCATTTTGAAAGGTTGTTTCTTCATGGCATACCTTCTTTTGAGAATCAAAAGGGTATGAATAGATTCATTTGAGTATGAACACATGTGAACTTTCTTCTAGCTTGTCTTGTATTACTGTATATTCATGAATGAAGAAAAAAAAAGTTATAAGACAGTCCTAAATGACTTAAACAACCTACACGTAGTGTGTAGGTCTTCGGATTGGTAAATTTGAACTACAAAATAACCTAGTATGTTTACAAACTACTAAAAATGAGTCAATGTCTTACGGCATTCAGGCAATTGGCAGAAGATAGTTGCAATAATAGAAGCACATCTTTGCAAATCTTGAAACAAGGATCGCGCTTTGACATCACCAATCCTTCATCAGATTTTCATAACTCGTTAAAAGGCGAGCATTGATTGATTGATTGATTGATGGATTGATGGAGAGAAAAGGAAATGAAATTAACTTCTGAATACAAATGCAGTAAAGCCCTCATTACAATTGAAATGTTGGAACAAATTTGAATAAACTCATTCTCCAAGATTATCAGTTCACTATCATAAAGGAATGGTTACATCTTTCAGTTATACTCTGTATTTGTCTGTTCGTGGTAAACATTTTTATAGACGGATATATCATTTAAAAATCTGGTAACATATGGACTTGTGGTATTACAAGAGGGTTATCATCTCCTTAGAATCAGATTAGAACTACTTAAGTATTTCTTTACTTCCTTGTAAATTGATTGTCATAATAAGATGGAACAGATTCAAAGGCACTCCTAGATTGTAACTTCTTTCTGTTCCTGGGTCAATGGCATTTGTAGGAGGGGTGGGGGGCTAGTTTGTAATAGATTACTGAATTGCAATTCAAATTATTCAATTCAATTCTGGTTTATTGTGAATAAAAACATGCTGAATAAAAAGTCCAAAGACTCAGACAATTCAGTTTAGAAATTATAGATACATACAAGAATATAAGAAATCGATACTTTTTAATTAATGCTATATATATATATGTCAATTCATGTTGAAAGAATATATATGTTAATAATCTCTTCCCTGCTTTTGATAGGCGTTGTATAATTTGTATTTGACAACAATCTATGAAGTAAAAAGTCCCCATATATTATGCATACTGAATATATATCCCTTTATTGAGATCCTGACCTGCTCATACATAGCCAGCGATCTATGAGAAGAAACGAAGAAATAAAACCAAGATTATAGGATAAAATATATCAGATGACAGCAGCCTGAAGTAACTGCTCTAATCTCGCTTGGTATTTCTACTCGATGCCAGATCTTTTTCAGAGATAACTATGTATTCTGTTCATAGCTGAAATATATGCATGAAGTGCATGCCTACTTGAGCGTCAATGATAGAGTGAGAAGGAAAAAAAATGAAGGAGCAAAGAAAAATATGAAAGTATGTGTAGACTGGCAGGGTTTGAGAGAGAGAGAGAGAGACAGAAACCTTATCCTGTGAGTCACGGCAGTAATATTTCCAATTTGCCATCTGTCACAAATAAATATAGTTTCATCCGCCTCATTATACGCACTTAGGATCCACATTTGTCTTTTGCTGCGTTAGACGATTGCTGTTTTCTGATACTCCCACTACTCGAGTCAATGATAGTTGTGGTCCCATTCGCATGTATGTGATTACCTGCTTCTGAAACACCCCCGATCCTCCTCCTCCCGTACCCCGTCTTTCCAAATTATGCGGACATGTAAATGAGAAGACATGGTAGTTATATGACGGTGTAGCTGGAAGGGATACAGTGCTTGTCTTTGAATATTATTGGAAATGTCTCGGATGATGTTTGCCAAGTATTTTCTCTAGCTGCATGGAGTGCATATTTGCACCTTGTTCGGTTTCTGACAAAACGTCCTGTGACGAGAATGTCAAGTGCACAGATATCTTTCTTGGATGCATATATTGTAGAATGGGAAATGTCACATTATGGTTTTGCACACCTATTTGCAGTTATTGCACCCCTTGTACATCACTGTTTTAGTTCTGTATTGTTTTTAATAGATTATGCATGGGCATTTTGCTCTAATTATCCACTGATTTACCCACTAACATGCACTGAATGACCATTTTCATATTAATTCATTCATAATTGATCTTTGCTAACATTGTGATGAGACATTTCATTTAACCCTTTCAAGCAGTTAATTCAAAGTGCATGCTAGCTGTTGCTAGGTCAGGTGAACATTCAAAACGATATTGAAGTTGTAACAAGAGCATTTTGGAGGAGGAATGAGCATGCTTAAAATTTTGAATTTATATTTTACACTAATTAATAATCAAGTTGGCTTGAAAGGAAAGAAAACGGAACATATGTGTGACTCACAGAT